TCACTGTTACCCTTGACTATTGTCCTTTTTATTGCAGTGTTGGAGAAGCAGAAGGTATTGTGCCTCCTCTATTACTGCAAAAAATAAATAAATAAATAAATGTAACAATAAACTTCCTAAAATCAGATTGCTTCCTGCCTACTTAGACTATAGATGTTAAAGGATGGGCTGGAGTGGGGTGGGAGGTATTCTGAGAGGTGTTCTTAATTAACTCCTGTACAGAAATTATTTCAAAGTTCTTGACTCATTCTGTAATTTAGAGCTGTCTAAGATTTCTAGTCTTAAGATTTCCCTACTTCTTTGATAAGATAAAAATAATAGTAAAAGAAATCTGGGAAGGTGGCCCAATCAGAAAACTGCTTTCCATACAAGCATGAGACCCTGAGTGTGACCCCCAGCACCCACATGAAAAGCCATGAGTGGCGTGTGCATCTGTAACCCCAGCCCTGGGGAAGCAGGGACAGGGACCCAGGAAGCCTCAGGCCCCAGTAAGATGCCTTGTCTCAGTAAGCATGGTGAACAGCCCCAAGGATGACCTACACATGCATATCCACACACAAAAGTAATAACAAGCAAACCCATGGGTTGTGACTGGCCAGCTCAGAGGCTGAACTGGTTATGGTTTGTTAGGGCTCCCCTAGGGCAGTAGTAGCTCAGGGCCAGCTGCCCTCTACTTCACACCAGTGTTGACATTGATTGGGTGGATCAGGCTTGAAGATTTGGCCTTCACACCTCTGGATGTTGATCAGAAGGAGTCCTTGGTTACTGTCTCAAAGCAAAGCTACGCTCACTTTCTCCTTTTTCCATCTCAAAAGCACAGCCTTCCTTACTTGAAGATTCACTACTGCAAATTTCAGTTCCATGTACCTGAGCCTGGCAGCTCAGAGAGCCATCCTAAATGCTATTTTCAAATGAAAGCCCCCAAACACATGTGATTTGTACATTAAAATGTGCCCTTATCCAGGTTCGGTGTCATACACCTTGGAAGGTAGAGGCAGAAGAAGGCAGGAGTTCAAGGCCATCTACTGCTGCTTACACAGTCAAAGCCTGGCATGCATGAGACCAACTCCAAAGGGGCCAGGGAGGTGGCTCTTAAGAGCAACAGGACCGGAGTTCAATTTCGGAGCACCTACATAAACTGTCACCTACACCCCTAGCACTGGAGGACTGGGACTAGTGCTTGCTGGCCACCAACACTGCTCCTAGTGAGACCCTGCGATGAGGGAGAGTGGTAAGGCAGGGCACTGGACATCCTCTGGCCTTTGCTCATGCACATGGACATGTGTACCCCACACTAAATAACAAAGGAGTGGGTGGCTCGCTTCACAGAAGCACCGAGAGCCAACCAAAGAGCTACGTGAGCTCGTGGTAGTGGAGACTCCAGCCTCTGCCAGGGAGTACCATAGCAATGCCGGGAAGCATGGTGGTTAGGGGCTTGCTTTTCTAGCCCTAGCACTGGTGGGCAGAATAAAAGAGGGTTGTTCCAGCCGTCACTTTGTCACCTTTATTGTGTGATCTACCCAAAGGAACATGGTCCCATCCATTCACAGTCTTGGCAGAGCTGTTCATGGAACTGAAGGTCTCAGTCACTGGCTTTCTTCTTTTTATTCAGTCCTTGGTGTGGCAATTAGTTTTAATTATCTACTGCTCAAATCTAGACACACTTGGGAAGTCTCAATGGACTGTCTAGATAAATTTGGCCTGTTGGCAATCTGTTTGGAGATAGGGTCTCTACTGAACCTGGATCTCACCTGGCACCCAGCAAAACCCAGTGAGCCTCCTGTCTCCCCACTTCTCCCACCCCACAGCTCTAGGTTCACAGGTATTCCTGACCATGCATGGCTTTTTATGTGAGCTCTTGGGATTTGAACTCAGGTCCTCATGCTCGAGTAGATAGGATCTCATGTATACCACAGTGACCTCTAATTGCTCATTGCTGAGTAGCTAAGAATGACCTTGAACTTCTGCTGGTCCTTTTGCCTCCATCTCCTGACTGCTGGGATTATTATAGCTGGGTACCACCAGGCCTGGTTTATATAACCCAGTACTGACAGTGGAACCCAGAGCCTCCTGAATGCTAAGCACACACTCCACCAACTGAGCAACATCCCCAGCCCAAGAACCCAGCTTCTGAAATCTGCTGCAAGAAATGCAAAGGATCAATGGACAGTGGCTGGAGCCCTTCCTGGCTCAGCGTTCCCCAGCATCACCGCTCATTGCCGGCTGGAGCCCAAAATAACTCAGGTTTATTTTTGAGCTCAGCTCCTTGGGTAAGAGGCAAATGAAAACAAGCTTTAAGTCGAGAGGCTTGTTTTAAAAGGCAATTTCCAAGAAACATCTGGGGGTCACTGTGGGTTCAGCCCCACCCAGCATACCGTGTTCCCTGTGATAGTTGGCAGGTTACAGGCCCCCTGCTTCAGGCTGCAGAGGGATTGAGTCCCCAGGGGTCTTTGTTTTATTAGTATTATTTTTATTATTGCATATGTGTGCAAGTATGCCACGGCATGTGTGTGAAGGTCAGAGGGCAACTTTGGGATCAATTCTCTCCTTCCACATTTACACAGAAGATCAAGCGCAGGTTGTCAGGCTCACACGACCTACTGATCCATCTCACTGGCCTGATTTTTGTTCTGCTTAGTGTACCTCCAGCTTCCCACCCTGTGGAGAGGTAAGTGTGTGGAAGCTTCCAGAAGCTTTAACAGAGCTGAGTGGGGAATGCCTGAGAGTCAGGGTGCAGATCCCCAGCCTTCTGTGCGTTTCTTTATTCTGCCTAATTTCTCACAGAGTTCAAAGAACACAGTGGACGAAGGCAGAGGACTCGTGCAGGGCCAACAGCCTAAATTTCACTCGACTCCATGTTGCTGAGCCTCACGTGGTTCTGGACCACCTCAGGTTCTGGAGCCATGAAATAGTGGCGTGGTGTGAGGCTGGCATGGCAAGATGGCTGAAAAGTGCTTGCCACGCAAGCCTGATGACCTGAGTTCAATCCCCAGTACCTACGGGATGAACCTACTTCTGAAAGTTTTCTTCTGACCTCCATGTGCATGCCACAACACGTGTGCCTTCATCTGCCCCTTCACACACGCCAAGATTTTAATAAGGGAAGTGAGCTAGCGGACACAACAATTTCCCTGCATTCAGAGGCACGGCAAGGCATGGTGGTGGACACCCACAGTCTATACGTGGGAGGCTGAGCAAGATGGCAGGGTTCAGCCTGAGGGGATAGAGAAATACCATCTCAGCCAGAAAAGGTGCTTAGGACCCGAGTTTGATCCCCAGGAACAAAGGCTGGGCATGGTGGTACATGATCCCAGCTCTGGAGAGGTGGAGACAGGCAGTTCTGTAAGGGCTAACTGGCGTCAGTCTAGCTTACGTGGCAAGTTCCAGGCTAGTGAGAGACCCTGTCTCAAAAAGCGAGATAAGACATTCTCAATTAATAAAAATATTTTTAAAATAGCAAGATGGGCCAGACCTAGTGGCACAAGCCTTTTATTTCTGTACTAGGGAGAGAGGCAGAATTAGGCCCCAGACTGGGGTGCTAGATGACTCATAGGTTAAGAGCACTGGGTGCACTTCTAGAGGTCCTGAGTTCAATTTCCAGCAACTACATGGTGACTCACAACCATCTATAATGAGATCTGGTGCCCTCTTCTGGCATGCAGACAGAACACTGTATACATAATTAATAAATCTTTAAAATAAAAAAACAAAAACAAACTGGTCTACAGAGCGAGTTCCGGGAGAGCCAAGGCTGTGTAGAGAAACCCAGTCTCAAAAAAGATTGACCTCTGGCCTGAACATGCGCACGCTCTTTTTCAAGACCTTTCCAACCTTTCCTGTCCTTCCCAGGCAGACTTGGGCACAGCTACCTGTCCCTCCAAACCCTGTCTATCTCTGCCTGTTGGATCCACAGAGTGGCTCACCATGGCACTGTTCACAGACCTCTTGTATATCCCAGGAATGTTCTAGCATCCCCTTCAACCTCAGCAGGATCTAAGTTTGGACTTTTAGCTTTACCCAGCTCCCCAGCTAACCCACTGCATGTCTGTGTTTTTAAGCACTTTGGAGGGTCTTCTTATCCACAAAGGTCTGTGCCTAGGGACAGTATTCCAGGACAACAGCCCCTCCCTGTTCATGCCCTGGCCATGAGGTGAAACCCCATCTTCCATCCCCAGCAGTTTCTGTCATGAACAGGAACAAAATGATGTCCTGCCTTCCCCTCTGATGTGAGCCTGGGCTTCAGGTAGAAGAGGGGGACATCAGGGTAACTGAGGAGGTATCCATGGCCATGATCCAGGCTCTGCTGCTCACCCAATAAAGCCAGAAAGCATAAGGAAGCACACAACACAGGGGACGTGCGGGACTCAGCAGCATGAAGCTGAGAAGGCAGGAAGGCCACAAACGGTTGCCTTGACTACATAGAAACTAGCTTGGGCTAATGAGACCTTATCCCAAAAAGGGAAAAACAAAAACAAAAACCGTGAGGGGTGGGGGTAGTGATAGGAGACAGAGCCCAGCAGGAAGGGATCAGTAGGAATGTTCCCTTAAAGGGTGGATAGTTCACTGGCCCCTTCTGCTTTGCTTCCTGGCCTTTGTAAGGTGAGCATCTCTCCACATGCTCTCCCCGACTGTGATGTTCTATGTCACCACAGCCTAAAAGCCACAGAGCCAACCCATCACAGATGTGACCTCGGGAACTATGGACCCTAACAAACCTTCCCTCTTTTAGGGATCCAACACAGCCACTTACCTACAAGATGCACATACTCCCCTTGACTCGCCAAGACCCCCACGCTCCTTCCTCCTCAGACAATGGGACAGTGAGACTGGCATTGCTAGCCAGCTGGGACATTGGAGAACAATGCAGGTCACTTCAGGAAAACTCTGTGTGTGTGTGTGTGTGTGTGTGTGTGTGTGTGTGTGTGTGTGTATGTGTGTGTGTGACAGAGCTTCAATAATACATGACACAGAAATGAAGGGGGAAAACACAGCTGTGGATGAATAATTTTAACACCATTCTTCCGTCAGGAGTTTATAGACTGCGACAGGAAAAATGCCATCGAAGACAGAAGAGCAAGCCCCCACCACCACACTGGCCTAACTGGTAGCAACAGTACAGGCAGCAGCCTCGGGGTTGGAGAAAGGATCTCTCTGCCTTCCATGCACAACCCCATGAACCTGCTTATAGTCACCCCATCACCCCACTTCTGTCTGGAGAAATGGTCAACCTGACAGGGCACAGATTTCTCCAGGAGCTTCACAAAGACCTGAGCCAGCCTTGAGGAGCAGAAAGCACCCCATGTGAGTGACACAAGGTTGCCAAGACACAGTGCTGGATAGATAGAGGGCTTGGACATTAAAGGTGTGCACTGTACTTGCCGAGGGCCTGAGTTCAATTGCAAGCTCCCACATAGGCTCACCACTTCCTGTAATGACATCCAGGAATTCTGGCGCCCTCTTCTGGCCTCTGTGGGCAGCTGCACTCATGTGCACAGACAGAGACAGAAACATACACGTAGCCATAAAACCCATGCCACAGGGTAGTCCAGAGCTCCAGCTGTGAGTAATTTGACAGACCAAGGCCCCCTCCTGTAGGGAAGAAGCAGGCATGTGGCTACCTCCTGCCTCTCAGCCATGGCTGCAGGCCCCATAACATGGGGACCCTGTGGTCAAGCACCCAAGGAGCATTTCCTCAGCTTCTGGGGACATTTCTTTTAATCCTAAAGATACCAGAGTACCCTCAGTCACTGGGCAGGCATGGTGGGTTAGTATCTTCAGGAAAAAAATACCAGGAGCTGACTTCACTGTTTCAGATGGTCCATCTCGCTGCATTAATTCTCCGCCCCCCAGCGGCAGTGGGAAGAACTGGCCTTGGCAAGTCTTCGAGAGCTCAGCCGCCGCCTCAGGGAAAAAAACTTGTCCCCCAGGACCCTGCGCAGCCCCACATTATCCTTGGCACAGGGCAGGTGCTGCCTGGTGACTGGGAGCTGCCCTGTGAACATCTCCCACCGGCCTAGGGCGTCCACAGCTGCATCAACCTGGACCAACTCCTCTTCAGCCCCTTCCCTCTCCAGGGTCTGGATGCATGCATCCAGCCACCGCCCATACTCCTCAATGGCCTCCACAGGGCCCCCGAGTTTCAGCAACACTTCTGAGGCCACCAGAGAGCTCAGCCCATCCTCAGACCCTGGTTCAGGCCCATCAGGGAAGGCATGACTCCACGTGTCAGGGGTGACTGGCTCTGATGGACTGGTCACAGGCTCAGTGTCACTCTCACAGCCCACGCCTGAGTCAGCACTGAAGGGCAGGGTTTCCTCTGACACAGATGGTTCCCCAGTCTCTTGTCCAGACCACATCTCCACTGTCACTCGGGTCCAAGTCTGGAGTCTCTGTGGGTAGAGACATAAACTGAGGTTGCTGGTTAGGCAGGGAGCTGCTGGGGACCACCCCAGGGCCAACAGGAGGCTGGAGCCACAAGGGCCCTTGAGCTGGGCCTATCTGAGGACTGGAGTCCAGCCCGTAGTCGCGCTGGACCTCCCAGCTCTCAGAAATGCACTTTTCACAGGCGCTCAGAAAGCTAGCTGTGAACCGGCCATTGCTTAGAGATAAATTACATGAAGATTATAGTCAATCTGAACTTTGTGTGTCTGTGCAAGGGTTTCTGTGTCTGTGTGTTTGTGTGTGCATGTGCAAGTGGGGGGGGGGAGGCCAGAGGTCAGCACCAAGCACCCTTATCCGGCACCTTGTGTTTTGAGACAGGCTCTCACTGTAGAACTCTCCACAGTTAGACAGGCTAGTCAGCGAGCTTCAGGGGTCCACCGTCTCTGCCTCCCCAGCACTGGGGTTGCTAATGCATGCCACCACACCCAGCTTTTTTGGTGAGGGAGGGAAGGTTTCAAGATGAGCTTCCTCTGTGTAGCTCTAGCTGTCCTGGAACTCACTTTGTAGACCAGGCTGGCCTCAAACTCACAGAGATTCACCTGCCTCTGTCTTCTGAGTGCTGGCATTAAAGGCATGCACCACCACACCCAATCTAAATCAATCTTTATAAAAATTAAAAAAGAGAAAAACCTGAGGGGAGGGAGGCTTCCCACACCAAGTAAGCTGAGCCCAGGGGCTGAATACAGCCAGCTATTACACAGAAATATCTCCTCCCTGCACTGAAAATTTTAACCAAAAGGTAGGCTTCAAAAAAAAAAGCCGCCTTTGATCTCGGAACCCTGAGCCAAGTGTCCTAGTTTGCAAACAAGCCTTTTCACAGGGTTGGGGGGGGGGGGGGGGGGCGGAGGCTTGTAGCAATACTGCGTGGTGACAGCAGAGGGCAGCATCCCCACACCAGCTCAGCCTAAAGGGCATCGCTGGCTGGCTGCCCGCCCCTCTGGACACCAGCTTGGTACGCTTCCCCTTTCTCCCAGGGGCTGCACTGCGTCTGGGTACAGGAGCCTCAGTGTCCACCAAGAAGCAAGGATGGGGAAGATGTGGGGAAGAGGGCCCCCATCTGAGCTCTGTAAATACAGAGCTTCTTGGGGGACCATCTGCACTTGCCCTCCTCCACCCACTGCAGCCTGATGCTGTCATCTGCCAGCAAGACCTGCAGCCCCGTGCCCGGGAGTGATGGTGCATCCATGTCCCCCACACACATCCAGGTTTTGCACCCTGCCCTGTCCCACTGCCTCTGGGTGACCACCCTCACCTACACACTCACCTTGTACCTCTCCAGGAGCCTGAAGCCCAGGAGGTGTTGCAGTTTCCGCAGGCAGATGGGACAGAGGTCCAGGGGACGCCTTATGGCCTCATCCAGGCTAAGTGCCCCTTGCAGGAGGCAGCGGAGCCACCGACAGCTCCCTAGGCCCAGGAGGTGGCATAGCTCATGGCAGGTAACCTGAGGGGAAATGACACCACGACTTTGCCTCACAGTCTCAGCACCCTGTAACCCCCACCCAGGGACCACTGAGCCAGCTGGCCACCCCTAGATGTCCAACACCTTGGGAATGACGATTACCTGGGCACGATCCACACATTGCCCTAGCCGCATCCTCCTTAATGGTTCTAAAAAGCCACACAGATTGAGGAGGCTTTGAAGCCAGCCAGCCCAGCCCAGCCCAGGGACCAGTCCAGGACCCTGTAGGTTCCTGACTGTGTGACCTTGAACACTGGGGGGGGGGGGGGGGGGGTCTTGCAACCTTGGTGTACTCACTCTGGAAAGTGAGGGACTGTTGTGGAATATTATTTTAAGATGTGTGACATTTGTCTATGCTATGGAACATTGTCTTAATGGTGCAAAGATGTGCTGCGTTCTTTTATGTGGTGTTTGTTTAACTCTGTGAAGCCGTGTTACTTTATCTGTCGAAAACACCTGATTGGCCTAGTAAAGAGCTGAACGGCCGGCAGCTGGGCAGAGCGACCGCTTCTAAACAAGCCCGGAGTGTGAACCGGAGCGGCGGACGGAAAGCTGCACAGCACAGGAGCGTGTACCTTTCAGGAGCGGCAGACTCAATGGCGGAATGATGACCACGACTGAGAGTTATCGCCAAGAGAAGCCTGCCCGTCACAGAGAAGCTGAGCTCTAGAGCCGGGTGTTAGAACGTGAAGCTGGGAAACTCCGGCAGAACATGCAGCTGGAGCAGTAAGAAACGCAACAGCACAGAAGCCACAGGCAGGAAGTTAGTGACCTGAAAAGTAACTTAGAAAAACTGAAAGTGGAATTAGATGAAGCCAGGTTCAGCGAGAAGCCGCTGAAGCAGAAGCTGGACCATCAGGAGGAAGTTCTTGTGCACAAACCAGAAGAGCTCAGGCTACTGACTGAGCAGTGCACGCTCAGTAGCATGTCCTCGGAGGCGCTGGCTCTTTGGACTGAGCTTACTGAAATGGAAGGTGTGAAGACAGCTCCCAAGGAAGAGGTGAACAAGCCAGGCGGTGATGGTGCACGCCTTTAATCCCAGGACTCAGGAGGCAGAGGCAGGCAGATCTCTGTGAATTCGAGACCAGCATGGTCTACAAAGCAAGTTCCAGGGCAGTTTCTAAAGCTACACAGAGAAACCCTATCTCAAAAAACCGTGTGTGTGTGTGTGTGTGTGTGTGTGTGTGTGTGTGTGTGTGTAAGAACTGCAGGACACACAAGAGGAACTAGAATGTTTCGATGCTTTCTTAATGCCCCAGGTAGACCGGGTTTAAGAAAAAGGAGCGAGAGAAGGAAGCGGGGTCCTCCCATAGCCTCAGAGAAAGCTCACATAGAAACTCAAGATCTTCAGGAGCAGCTGGGCCGCACACTTCAGCTCAGCTTGGTGAAAGTCAAATATCAGTCACTGAAGTAGCCAAATGCATTCACCCGAGAGCAGATGGACAAAATGAAGTTCCAAACCTCCATGCTGCTGAGGATGAGGGGATTGCAAACCGAATTTGAGCAGCAGGAACGGCTGTTTGCCATGTTGGAACAGAACGATGAAATAATAAAACACCTTTAGGTGAAATCAGTAATCTGGAGAAATCTCCAAATTTACATGGAAGTATGGAATCTAAGCCTTCCACGTCTGCCCACCCTTGTGCTCGAGAAGACAGCACCTAATACGCAGATTTACTTCAGTTAAAGCTTGATAAATAAGAAAACGAAGGCCCAAAGGGCGCACTATCCATACAGAGTTATTATTTGAGAGCCAGCGGGCCCTAGGTACTGGGCCGAAACAGTTCGCAAATGAAAGACGCCTGCAGCTTTCAGGAAGTGCGATATGAAACTGAGAGCGAAATTAGATGAATTAAAGTCAAAGTCAAAGAGAAAATTGAAATACCTGTACTCAAAAAGAGGCGTGAGGTGCTGCCGCTGGATATATCCACGCCAGAAGAAACACTCGCTGCCAGCGCCATTGGGGAAGAAGTTTCTAGACTGTCCCTTCAGGGAGAGGAGAAAGAGCCCGGCCTGACATGGTAACACCACAGTGAGGACAGCCAGTCTCTCTCCCCACAGGAGCCCGCATCTGGCTGTGCTACTGCGCCTGTCTAAAACACCCGATCAATACAGAGCTGAACAGCCAAGAGCACAGAAATGGGTAGGCAGGGCTGGCAGGCAGAGAGAAGACATAGGAGGAGGAGCAAGATCAAAGAGAGGAGGACTCTAGGGGTCAACCACCCAGGCACCCAGCGACTGAGGAAGAAAAAAGAACAGAAAAAAGCCCAGAGGCAAAAGGTAATGGCATAATTTAAGAAAAGCTGGCTAGAAATGAGCCAAGCTAAGGCTGGGCATTTATAAGAAGGAATTAGTTTCTGAGTGATTTATTTGAGAGCTGAGTGGTGGCCCTCCAAAAGAGTAAAGGAATTTTTAAAATAAAATAACATTTTGGTGTACAACATAAGGCTCAAATTTCATGGCTCTTTTTAAAGTTTCTGCCTTGCCAGGCGGTAGTGGCACATGCCTTTAATCCCAACACTCGGGAGGCAAAGGCAGGTGGATCTCTGTGAGTTTAAAGCCAGCCTGGTCTACAAAGCAAGTTCCAGGACAGCCAGGACTGTAACACTTTCTACAGCTAGGAAGGTTGACTGCAGCTCCAGAAACACAGCTCAGACTGAGCACAAGCTTAATGCCTGGCCTTCAGGACGAGAGAAGCAGGAGGAGCGAGCGGAGGTCCACACTGCTTATCAGTTTAAAGGCTCAGGCGGTCAAAAAAGCCTAAATGATGCGCAGTGAAAGAGACTCAGACTGAAAACCCTGAGAACAGGTCCCAGCGTGTCTTGCAGTCTGCGTGGGCTTAACAAAAAGGGTATAGACAGTCATAGAATAAATAGATTAAAAATAATAAAGTCTTTAAAGAGACAGTCAAAGAGAAAAGCCACATAAAGATGTGTGCTATTGTGTGGATTTTGAATTTTTTGATTGCTGATAAGCACAGGCCAGCTGCTAAGAGACATGGGATTGAAAGGAACTTTTGAAATAAACCAGCCTGCATACTTTAGGAATGCCTTAACTTTATAATGAAAGTCAAAAAATGTATTTGTCAAATGGAAATAAAAAATGCTTGGAAGAGAAGTTTTGGTTTTTGTTTCCATAGGAAATAAGGTGCTGCAGATTCCTTCCAGGTTAATACGGCTTGATCAGGAAAGATCTCCTGAATCTTGACAGATGATATATATTAACAGAGGTCACTACTAGTCATCCCAGGACTTGGCCAGTATCTCAGATTTTCTCAGAAACCCTAAAGATGTCTTCCACCCACAGACAACAGGAAGCAGTTTGGTGAACACAACACCCACATTCCCAAAAGGGGTGTAGGAGAGTTTCAGTTATTTGGTGAGTTATGGATGTTTATCATTTAGGGGAATATAGTATATTGATATGAATTTAAAATTATTTTTGTTACACTGTATGTATGTTTCTACTCTTGTTTAAGGTATTTTACCTATGCAGTTCACTTAAAACTATAAAGTTCTAGTTTTTTTTAATTAATTAATTATTTATTTATTTATTATGTCTGCAGGCCAGAAGAGGGCACCAGACTCCATTACAGATGGTTGTGAGCCACCATGTGGTTGCTGGGAATTGAACTCAGGACCTTTGGAAGAGCAGGCAATACTCTTAACCTCTGAGCCATCTCTCCAGCCCCCTAAAGATCTAGTTTTGAAAGCTATTAAAAACTATTTGGAGTGATCAAGAAACACAGGTTAGTAGTTAGTTATTTATAACAATCAACTTTATAGATATTTTAGGCATGTTTTCTAGATATTACAGATATATTTTAGATAAATAAATGGTCTTCAAACACTTCAAAGACATATAGAAGCCGGGCGGTGGTGGTGCATGCCTTTAATCCCAGTACTCGGGAGGCAGAGGCAGGCGGATCTTTGTGAGTTCGAGGCCAGCCTGGTCTACAAGAGCTAGTTCAGGATAGGCTCCAAAGCCACAGAGAAACCCTGACTCGAAAAACCAAAAAAAAAAAAAAAGACATATAGAATATGACATTTAAAATGTTTTGTTAACTTAGGGCTTTTCATGACGAAACACATCTGCTCCTGGCAACACCAATTTACTGTATTTTTTTAAAAGATTTATTTATTTATGTATACAGCATTCTATCTGCCTGTTTACCTACAGACCAGAAGAAGGCAACAGATCTCATTACAGATGATTGTGAGCCACTATATGGTTGCTGAGAATTGAACTCCGGACCTTTTAAAAACCAGCCAGTGCTCCTAACCACTGAGCCATTTCTCCAGCCCCCCAAAAATTACTTTATAAAAGGATGATGGGCATCAAAGAAACTCCAGAAGAGTTTGCTTTCACTGTGGCAAGATTAGCCATTTGGACAAGAAACTGATTTTTGGCTTGACTGCTTGGCTGTGTGCTGTGCAGACTGGACATGCACAACCCACAGGAAAGTGACTGCTGAACTTTGCCAAAAACAAGGCAGGACAGTCCTTCACATTTCCAGCTTCACTGAAAAGTCTATCAGATACTCTAGGCCTGTAGGCTGAAGACAGGTGCCTCAGTGTTGCAGAGGAACTCTCGGTGACTGTCAGATGTCTCTGTCATGTCTAAAGTCTTAGAAGCTGCTTGCAATGCACTTCCTGTTTACTTGGGTAATACATATATTCCACTGGGGCTTTGGATGGAGTTGAAGACTAGATAGTTATAGTTGCAGTTTTCTTTAATTATTAAGGAAAGTAAATTAGGTATAAAACTTTGGAGTCAACCAGGTGGTGGTGGCATACGCCTTTAATCCCAGCTCTTGGGAGGCAGAGGCAGATCTCTGTGAGTTGAAGTCTAGCCTAGTCTATAAGAACTAGTTCCAGGACAGACACCAAAGCTACAGAGAAATCCTGTCTCAAAAAAAAAAAACAAATGAACAAACAAAAACAAAAACTTTGGAGTCACTAAGATGGGATGGATGGTGGAGTGTTTTCTCTGAATTTGCTAAATGTAAATGGACCAAATATTGTAAATTCTTGATAACTGTTTTTATTGCATATAAAAACATATATTTTACTATGTTAAAGTCAAAACCTTTATTTTTATTCAGAGAAAAAAGGGGAAATGTTGTGGAATATTATTTTAATGTGTTACTTTTTTTTTTCTTGCTGCTTTGTTAACAATGCAAAGACGTGTTACATTTGTTTAAGTAAAATTAACCTGGGGTTAGGAGGCTGAGTCAGCAACTAGCTGACAGGAAGTGGTAGGGAGGACCCATATGTAGCTGGGGTTCTAAAGTGGGGGCTGAACAGAAGGATGCCTTTTTTTTGGGGGGGGGAAACATGAACAAGAAGAGGTTAGCTACTTGCTGTTTGGCCTCTCTGAGTGAGCAGAATTTCACCTCAACCTTTGAATTCTGAGTTCTGTAGAGGAATAGAGATCTAGATAAAGTTCTCTTTAGTAGCCATGCTATAGACCCTGCTGGTACTGTGGAGCTGCAGCTGCCAATTAAGACAGCATTTGCTTAAGGGGCAGCCGCTGCATTTAATGAACAATGACAGGTGCCATCCTCCTTTTAGCACTGACTGTGCCAGGGCTCGTGGCTCTGATCCGTCCTGTCCCCCACCCTGTACCCCTTCTCCCCCATGCTCACCTTGCAGCACTGAACCATGCCCAGGGCACTGAAGCACATGGTCCGGCCTCCCTCATGTGTCAGTGTCTCAGGGCCATCTGCAGCTGCCTCCAGCAGAGCTGGGTCAGGAACACTGGGCCCGGCCTGCAGAAACTCCCCAGAGAATCGAGCGAAGCTGCACACACCCACTTCTGGGGAGAGGCCGAAAGAAGGGACAGCCATGACTCAAGGGACCCAGGGTGGAACCATCCCAGCATTCCCTGAAGCCCAGGACAGCTCGACGAGAAACATCCTCCAGTCCTGCCCTGTGCAGTCAACTCTGGGGACCAGCCCCTCGCCCAGGTCCAGTGAGAACATAGCCTCGAGTTGGTACACACACATCACCCTGAGGGGGTGGAAGCATGTACACCATGCCCGGCACTGGTACACCATGCTTGGCACTGGAGCGCCTTGGGGCCACATCACTCTGCCTCCTGAGTAACAGTTGCTAAGGCCTCCGCTCACCATGCCCCGGAAGGAACCTGCCAAAGGTGAAGGTCCAGGCATCATGGGGATACAAGTCGGCCAGCGTGAGACCCAACACACACAGTGCGTCCCCTGGCTTGTTGTTCTTCAAGAAGGACAGGATGCCATCTGCAGGAAGAAGGCTGGGGTCAGGGTGGGCAGAAGAACCTCCCATCTGTCTCCTGGTCTGGGACCAACCCTCTCAAAGCTGGATACTGACAAGCTACATCCTGGGGAGACCCAGAACCCAGAACAGCAATATGACAGCCTGAGAACCATGGGCCCAACCTGAGAGACAGGCCAGGGATCCCCAGTGCCAGTCATTTCCGGGGCCCCTGTCTCCTGGGTCATGAGAGCTGATCTGGACACAGTCCCTGTGGAGAGGCTGAAAGGACAGTCAGTCGAGCTGGGAACATGGCCCAGTAATGTGATTTCCTCTTTCTCAGTAAAGTGCTTGTCATACAAACATGAGAGCCTGAGTCTGATCCCCAGAATCCATGGAAGAAAACTGGTCCCAGTGGCTTGCAATCCCAGCACTGGGGAGACAGAGACAGGTGAGTCCCTGGGGTTCACTGGCCAGCCAGCCTGGCCAAATCAGTGAGTCCCATGGCAGTGAGGGACCTGTCAAAAAAACCAGGTTTTCAGTAAGTGAAGACCTAACCAAGACTGACCTCTGTTCTAAACACACACACACACACACACACAGAGAGAGAGAGAGAGAGAGAGAGAGAGAGAGAGAGAGGAAACAAGAACCCAGCAGGGAACAGGCAGCTGAACAGTTACCCGCAAAATGCCCACATCCAGGTCCCTAGGCCCTGGGAACAAGTTACCTCAAACAGCAAGAGTGACCTGCAGTTGTAATTACAGTGCTAGGAGGACAATGGCTCTGCATTGGCCAGAGAGTCCAGGTCAGAGCAAGGTGTCTGAGCCACCGAGGGCGGCAGGAAGGAGACCCAGGTGGCCAGTGAGGCCCAGAAAAGCCAAGGGTGACTGCAAAGGAGGAGGGGAACTGACACTGGACAGAGAAGAGCTGCCCCAGTAAGTCTGCTGTGGACGGGCAGAGAAGTCGATAGGGCTGGGAGCACCTCCATGAAGATCAATATGGAGACCAACACAAGGCAAGGAGATGGCTGCACTGGGGACCGGGAGCCATTGCTAAAGAGGCATAGAGGGGTGCCCCTCCACGGCCTTTACACAAAACAGGGAGGAAAGAGCATGCTGGTGCAGAACGCAGGCCAGTGGGGGAAGGAAGGGGATGTCAGGAGCTTCTGGGGACCTCCAACGGCATGGACCTTTGTGGGAGAATGTCCCAGCTGCATCCCACCATGAGGATCATGCCGGGACAGGAAGGCTGCAGAGGATGGGGCGGGGGGGGGGAATAATGGAAAACAAAGAAGTCCAAGTGTGGGAGAGGATTGAGTCACAAAGCAGTAGATAAGGTAGAACCACAGGGCTTTGTGACCAGCACAGGATCGTAACAGTGGGGAAGACAGAGGCAGAGTGGGAAATGGAGGAGGGGCTGTCAGAGGGAGGCATTCACTGTCCAAAGTACAGGGTGATGTGGTTGCTGGTAACAACAGTGTGGGGGTACACTACTGTCCCGCAGAGATGGTCTAGCCACGATGAGACTTTTAAAGTCTCAAAATGGCCAGGCGTGGTGGCACAGGTCTTTAATGCCAGCACTCTGAAGGCAGGAGGCAAGCAGACCTCTGTGAGCTCAAGGCCAGCCAGGGGTACAGAGTGAGACTATGTCTCAAAGCTAAATGAAATAAGGTCTCAAAGCTATTAAAAAGAAGTAAACTGATTTTGACAGAATATTTGATGTAACTAAAACTATCTTACAGACATTTTTTTCAGTGTCTTTTGGGCCCTGCATATGTTACATAAGTACTCTACCACTGAGCCACACCCCAGCCCCTCACTGGGGGATTCTA